TAAACCTCCGTGCACGGAGGTTTGCTAAATTTTATTTATTTTTGAACTTATATTTTTGTGTTCATTTTCAGGTTCATTACGGAATATCAAACGAAGTAGAAAATTTTACATTCTTAATATCAATTTGAAGTACTCGTGGCATAGTATTGCACGTCGTTAATGGTGCATGAAACGGCTAATTGTAGCAAATGTTACGGAACGTCAAAATATGCATTTTCAAATTATATTTCGAAATTTTCGATAATAAACTAACTTTAAAAATTCATTGACGTTTGTACGATAGTCGAATCGATAAATGTTTTACATTCTCTCGAAACTCATTTCAAGAACTATATCATATACACATCGAATGATCTAAATGAATATAAAAAATAGTTAAACGGACATTAAACGTATGTGTTAAAAATCAATTATTTTATTACTATTTATTATTTTTTCGCAACAATTTTCTCAATACATCATTTTGCTTAAAAAAAATTATATGGTATGACGTAAATTTTTTTCTCCATGCATGGAGTGAATTTTTTTTTATATACAATAATTTTGTTTATTAATATAATTTTAAAAATTTAAATATATAAGATATGGTTGATAGTTAATAGCGTGAGAATTAGGAGAAAGAGTATGGTGTGTCAGATTCAAAGTAAGGGAGAAATATTGTAGTGGACAATGGCGTGTGACAAAATTTCTACAGCATTTTTTAATATAATTTTTTCTGTTGCCAAACCAATTCCCAAATCGATTAAGTGTGAAAACGAGTGTGACAAAAATGAACAGTAAACCCCCATTCTCTCTTTTATGGTAGTGTAAATTTGACATGGGCTAAATATTTGTGTTGGGATTTATGATATTAGTTTAACCTAGCTTTTAATTAATTTTGATATTTTCTCTTTAATGTTAAGTTATTTATTTCCATGTGTTTCTACTATTGTATTTATTGCATTTTCATTTATGTGACCAATGAATGATTATATTAAGTGATTTGTTCATCGTTCGAGAGAAGATTGTGCATTTTAGGCCAAATAGTAGAAACTCTGGGTTTGTTTAGAGGATAGAGATATACCCCTAACTCTAGGCGACCCATTGAGCTATTTTCACAAAGATTTAATGTGGTTGTTTGGTTTAATCGACATAGAGATATAGTAGGTTAAACCAATTAATTATGGTTAATTTCGCTCGAGAGGGGTAATTGACTAAAATTGGAAGATCGGGTCTAACATTGTGAATGAGTAATTTGTAAATTTGCTTGTGGAGAAATTAATTAGACGACGGTTAAATGAAACCATGAATCCCAACCAAGTTTGCTTCCGAAAATTCTCAAGATTTTCATATTTTCTTAATTTGTGGATTTTAGTTAATTTCCTTATTTAAAAACCATATTTTTAATTGTGTGTGTTTATTTCTATTGTTAGAATTAAATTAATAAGAGTTGTGTAATCGAAAGTACACATTGTTTGAGGGATCGACAATCCAGACTCAACAGGTCCACTTTATTACTTGTACGCGACCTGTGCGCTTGCGACATGTAGTATTTTAGCGAACACTCATTGAACAATGAACTAAATTTTGTAAATGTAAAGAATGGAGTGAGCTATGTAATTTGATAGCATGTTTGATATATTAATTAAATGATTTGACATCTGAACTCCAATCTCATAATAGTCGTTCGCAGGTCCCACCTCAGTTCGGTTATAAAATTCAGCTCGGCATACTACCGCCGTAATATCAAGAGACATCGTGATTACCTCCTATCACATCACCCTCTCAATCACATATATTTGTAGAGGGTGACGTCATCACCGTCCAAAACCACAAATCCGAGGCCTCGAACGTTCAAATCACTTGCAAGTAGGGATGACAATTTGGCTCGTTGGCTCGGGCCGAGCTCCATTTTGGGAGAACGGGCCAAGCCCTAGCCAGCCTGCAGGCCTTATTTAAAAAAAAAAAAAAAAAAGGCCCCCAAAAATGTTGCCTTAACCAGCAGCATTTCATCTAAATAGAAAAGGCATGAAAAGCGAGCCTACTCGGCTTGACTAGGAAAGACCCAAGTCAAAAGCTCGGGTCGAGCCTAATTTTATTTTATTTTTTTAGCCGAGCTTTTGCAATTCCGGGGCCTGGGAAAAGGCTCGCACATTTACCTAAGCCTTGAATTTCGGCTAGCAAGTCGGCTCGTTGACATCCGTACTTGCAGGTCATCATTACTTGAGAAAATATTGATACATGACCACCGACGTCGTCAACCAATCACGGAGGAATTCGACGACCGACTTTCGAGCTCGGTCCAATACCTAATTTGATTAATTTGATGTAATTTCGGCTGGAGTCATGTATAAATAGTAGAGAAATAGTTTTCTTAAAGAAAAGTTAACTTTCATACAATTACATTACACAATTGAGTCTTCTGAATATACATTTGTGACTTCTTTTTCATAATAAAGGAAGGTCCCCCTTATTCTTAGAGTTGACTTGAGATTAATCCTTATTTTGACGTCAACAAAATGAAACATAAATATGTTACACAATTTAACAAGTGAATATTAATTTATTCTTATAATGTGTTCGTTTCTATATAATTCCCAATACATGTCATGCATATACCATAGTGTATGAACACTCCTATTAAAATGACGTATCCATTTACAACACATGACATGTCATGTTGGGCATTGACATTCCTTGAATTTTCCACAAGTCCGTAAGTCACGCGTTTGTTCAATTTTTCTTTTACATTTTTTAAAATTTCTAACGATATATGAATATTTTAGGAACATTTTTCATACAAGGTTCAACGTGACTTGTACAAATTGCAGAGTCCTTTTATTAAAAAAAAATGAAAATAAAGAGATAATATACTCCATAATTTTAAATGTTTTTAAAAATTTAATTGACTTGTTGATCATGTTTGTGTCAATACAACTTAATGCTAATAAATTATATTTGTTTTTTTTTTTAAATATTCTTAATTATTCTGTTGAAATCATATATACTCAATATACTTAGACATCGTTTGATACCATATATTTTCCATGGAAAATGGAAATTTTTTTCTATTTCCCATTTTTTTGTGTGTTTGATACACCATTTTTTCCAGACAATTGTTTTCCACGAATAATGCTCACAGGGGTGCCAATTCCAACTTTTTAGGGAAAATGAATTCCCATGGCGTACGGTGATTTTTCAAATTCCAACTATTTTTTTTCATTTTTTTTTTTTGGAAATTGAGACAAATTCTAAGTTATTGTAATTTTTTTCCTTTAATTGACAATTTTCATGTAAAACAAAATCAAACGAATATCAAAAGATAGATAATTTCCTTAATTTTTTTATTTTTTGAAAACAAATTTCATCTACAATACCAATAAATTTTATCCCTTTAATTGACAATTTTTATGTAAAACAAAGTCAAACGAACCCTAAAAAATACTTTTATTTCAATATTTTTCAGGTAAAAAATTATATCAATTAAACACAATAATTTACAATTCTCAAGAAAATAATTTTTAAACAATTCAATTCCTTAGAATTCGTTTTCAATTCAATTCAATTTCATCTTTACAATCAAACGAACCCTTAGTGTTCAAGACATGCTATGATGCAAACAACTGAAATGATCATCTAATTCCTAGATTTACCCTTGTTTGAGCCCCATTTTAGGAGAAAGAATAAATTTTTGAATAGTATATTGATGAAAAATGTATGATTAAAAAATAAGGAAAAATTGAAATTTATGTGTAATATTATTTTATTGAAAAATATGTAGTTAAAATGATATTAAAATACTATTGAAAATACTTTTTTTTCTAGAAAATGGAGCTCAAACAAGGACTTAGCCCCCGTTTGGCTCCCATTCTCCTTCTCATTCTTTTTCTCTATCTTATTTCAACAACACAATCTTTCATAAAAAAATATTATACACAAATCAAAAACTTTTTATTCTTTTTCAACCACACATTTAAAAAAAAATATTTTAACTATTAAAATTTGAAAAAAATGAAGGCCAAATGGAGACTTAATTAAATTTCAACTGATGAATAGTGCAATATGAAAATTTAATACACTGTATCCCAACAAACATTTTACTGTACGAATATGTGGATTAGGTTTAAATATGATATCAATAATACTAATAATAATACAGTATTGTGTTATTGACAAGATTATTATAAGATTTAAAACTAATGCATTTGTGTGTGAGAGAGAGGACTCGAAAAAGACAGACCGAGTACTGTGCAAGAAAATGACGGGGGAACTCCAACAGAGGAGAAAATAGGGAAAATGGGCCCACATTTATAATTCAGTGTCCACCACGATAATCATGCAAATATATGATTCCGACATCATAAATTACAGGAAAAAAATATCTTTTATGGGTCCAACTTGTTCGTCTTTATCTCTCTTTCTTCGTGGAAAAGGTTAGACTGCTGAGAAAGCAAAATCCAATAGGAAAAGGAATAGAAAAAGAGAATAATTTCCAGGACTTCATATTTAGGTGCTAAAGCTATCAATAATTGCATTGGGTATAATCCACAGGATTGATAAAAACAATTTTTAGAAGCATATTATATTTTAGAACACATTTGAAAAGTATATATGAAGTGTTTAAATTATAAGTAGGTACAAATATATGGAAAACAAAGTAATAGTATTTGTAAGTCTCTTGAAATGTATAAATAAAAATTGACTTGAGTTTTTATAAACATAGGTCAAACAAGAGCTTAATGTTGTAAGATACATTGTATCATCTCCACCGTCATTCAATAGTATTCGATCTCAAATTTCGCATCCCACCAATCTAAATCATTAACATTCAAGATCTCTCCACCTATCAGCACTCTCGTATCCACCCCCCCCCCCCCCAAGTAATCGTCTCCCAAATAAAGAAGCCACTTCTATGAATGATATGCCAGGCGCGTTGAGCAAATCATACAATTTCATACAAGAAAATATAAATGGAACGTGATTAACATACATCATCTTTGATAAGTGTACCAGATATAATGTGTTGACAAATGACGACCGATAAAAAATGTACTTCAATTGGGTAGGCCCTTGTCTAGTTTTCATTATCTGAAGATTGAGAATTTAAAAATGCCAAGAAATCAGAAACAGGTTGCAGTGCGTCCCACAACAAAAAAAGTAGAAATTTATTGGCTTGTTTGGTGTCTAGGTCCAGCCTGTCTGGACCCTTTTACTAGATCATAAGCGTTTATAGAAATAGACACATATGTCCACTAGCTTGGGATCACAAAATGCATGTGTACCTTGGCTGCTGAATTAAATGGAGACTTATCCATTCGCCGTTGTCAAAGTGGTTGATACTCCAATGTACGGTTTAAAATGTATCGGACACAATCTACAACTTCCTCTTCTTTACACGAGGTAACGAACTTCACTGCAATAATAACATCACCAGGAGAAAGATTACACTCCCGCTGGATGCTTTACTACAATATTTCTGTGAAGTTTAAGATTCTTAATGTTAAAGATTCGCCAAATTTATTTTGAAGTAAAGAAATTTTATTCGGACATTTAACACGAGTACTATATAATATGGTATAATATTTAGTGTTTGAGATATTTATTTTGAAACACCTTTAAGAGATAGGGGTGCCACAAGCCGAGGTCCCAACAGAGATATTTGATATTGATTTGGTGAACAAAGCCCAGGTTGCCAAGTCTAAGCGCCCCAACAAAGAGCATTATCATACTATGTATTATGAAAGCTATATATAAAATTATTAATAAACATATTATTATAAGATAGATAATAAATACAAATGCATAATATGTGTAGTAAAATTAATTTTCTAAATAATGCTATTTGTCATTAGTTGCAATATCAACAAATGAGACCTTGGTGATAGTCAATAATCTAGACTAGATATCTTAGCTGATTGCCTTTTATAGTTGTGTAAATATATATTCTCAATATAGACACGATGACATCCCCTTAGCCAATGATGCTCGGACTCTTAAAAAATGGCGAAGTACCCGTGTCGACACGACATGACATGGATACCGACACGGGATATGTGTTGGATTCTCGATTTTGAACTCAAACATGGCAGGAAAAGGGAGAAAACAATGGACGGTGAAGTATTGCTTCTAGCTTGTGTTTGTAGCGGCAACAACCATTTGTTTCAAGTCTTTTGATAAAAATATGTAGAAATTTATGGAGGATTGCAACAACATTTGCAAAATTTTGCAGAAAATGTGGAGCCCAATGAAGAAATTAATGATATGAAGGAATTTCCGTAACTAGTTGGGCTGCCCTTCAATAAGTGTATTTTTCCAAAAAAAGAAGAAGAAGAAAGAAATGAAAGAATTAAGTGGTTTAAAAGTCAACAATATATACTGCCATAAATTAGGGGTTATCTCTAAAGGTTTTATTATTTATTGTTAATGGCATGATTTGTTGTTTGCTTTAATTGAATCATTTTTTTAGGAAAAAATTATAAGACGTATCCCCATATTGGTATCCAAAATTCGGATCTTTTTTAACCGTATCCCCATATCTTAATTTTTAAAATGAGAAGAATCCGACTCCTACATATGTACCCGTATCCGACACCCGCACCCGAGTCCCAGCATCATAGCCCTTAGCTAGGTTTATTGGTTGTGATCATGTATCTACGTGCATTATCACTCTAATAAAAAGAGCTCCATTAAAATTTATTATTTATATATTTATTAGGAATTGGATTTCAGATATAGATATGTACTGTTGTTAATATTTTCATTAGTCTATAATATATACATGGGTCCATGGGGACAACTTACATTAATGAGTAGGTAAAGTACATGATAGAATTGATTGCGTTTATATATTTACACAGGATCCTAGGGGCAATCATATTTCTTTGGAATAAAATCATATTAACATGCATATCATGGATCGCAATGAGATTACGGGCAAAATATGGTATCCTATTAGAACTATGGTTTTGAAGTGGATAAGTGTTGGAGGAATTTTGTGAATAGTGACGCCAAAATAAGTATAATGATGGTTTGTAAATCCGTGCCGAAAATTGGACAGAGTAACGACAAAGAAAACAAAAACAAGAAGAAGAAGAAAGTAGGAACAAAGCCGAGGCAAGAGTTGGACTCTTTGTCCTTAAGTCGAATTTGCCCCGCAACGGTGCCTACGGATTTCGGCAATCGACTCCCAAGATACAACGGCTACACTTGTGTTTGTAGCACTCCAAAACACAA